GTGGCGGCGACAGGTGTGTACAGGCGGTCATTGAAAATAAAATAAAAAACCGAAATAAATATATACATTTTTTAGAAATGCTACGTTTGTTATTAGGTACGTCGTGGTTGTATACACACACACACACACACACACATACATATATGAGCGTTATTTATATAAATTCGAATGGTACTATGATATTATATCTTATAATATTATTATTATGTATTCGATATGTATAAATTCCAATAGTATTATATACTATTATAGGACATTTGAATATTCAAATCACGCGCGAGCGAGCGCAGTCACATCGGCAGCGGAACAGCAGCGGGGCTTACCTAACTTGCAGCAGCTCAACACACATACACGCAGATACACACATAATACGTATAATATCATTGACACGAAAATATTGTAGCTGTAATATATTATATTATTATAATATATTGACGGTTCTCGGAAAGTTCTTTATGCGCGCCACGTGTGTTTATGTGTCAAACCGTCCGCCGCCGGTTAAAACGATTCGCCGCAGTCGGTCGTCGACTACGGTCCACGATATTATTTTACTATAATAAAATAAATTATAAACAATATTATGTATTTTATATTTATATATAAAGTTATTATGTACGGTACACGACGGGCTATTATTATTATTAATATTATTTATTACAATTGTTATAATCGTCATCGTCCTGGTCGTTATCGGTACGATCGAGATGTATCGATCGTCGTCGGTCAATAAATGAGCGTCCGGTCGTGGTGAGCGGATTACGCGCGGCAGTGGTAGCTTTAGAAATGGACGTAGAAGTACATAGTATAATAATATAATAAATACAAAGATCGTGACCCCGGCTTTTTTTCTCAGTCACTCGCGGATCTACGAGTTATCGGGGCTAACATTTTAGACACAAAAACTCTAATACCCCTCTGCGCATATACGAGTATTATATTCTTATATACTACACGAGCCGCGCGTGAACGATGTAAAGCACGGTACGCGATGGTGGCCCCCGACGGTGCCGGAAGTGAAAAATTCGATAGGAAAAAATAATATATTACTATAATATACTAACTTCGCGTTCTGTACGACGACGACAATGACAACGACACGACAAACGTTGTATGTAGAAAAAGATCTATACAATTAACGGCCTCAACAAAAGTACTGTACGTACTTACCCATACGAGACGGAGGAAAAAAACTACGACATAGGTTGCAAAACTTATAGCAACTGCACAGTGCACACACGCGACATCGACGGTCGTGCTCGATTTTTTTTTTTTTAATTAAAAACGTAGAAAACGCACGCGACGGTGGCAGTAGAGGAAAAGGTAAAAACCACGATCGGGTAAACGACGCTTTCGTGTAACGGTGACGGGTGTTGTCGATAATATGATGCGTGTATAAGATTATGTACTATTTTATGCTGCTGCTTAATAAATAGTTTTCAAAAATACATACAAAACTTAAGCCCAAAGCCTGACAATATAGGTTTAAAAATAAAATAGTATAGTTCGCCTCATCCTCTCTCTGTTGTGATCATAATATCATACGCGTAATAAATGTTAATAATGCGATAGTAACTATAGTAACTATACAAACTAATACACATATTATATTGTATTTTCATGACAATAAATTTACAAAATAAGAAAATAATATTATAACTTTATACAGAATACTAAATTGAATAGACCCCTAATTTAGGGAGTAAAATGGCTTAAATAAAGTAAAACCTTCCTAAACCGACCACATATATTTTAATATATTAAATATTTTATATTTGCTCCAAATTTAGAACCTTAATCCCTATTAAATAAATCAAGTTAAGAACATTTCATCTTTTGTAAATATTAAGACAAGATATTTTGGTCTCTAGCGTACATATAGGACTTTGGTCTACGGCTTTTATGAAATCATAATATTTTGTATTCATTTAGTTCTCTTGTAAGTAAATAATTTAAAGTTTAGAAATTCATTCAGTCAATTTTAATTGTTTTAATATAAGTAAAAATAAAATATTTTAACAATGTGCTATATCTTATAGAATATATAAGGATTTAACGTGATCACATGTTATAGAGTACGTAAACGCGTAAGTGAGCTAAACGATTCAATTATAAATTACATAAAATTGCGAAATGGAGTTTACGGATAGACAGTACAGCATTATATCAAAACCAAACGGATATCAATCGTGCTAACAATCTTCGGAGACCAAAACAATGTCCTTCCTATGACAACTGTTTGCCGAGGACGAAACGTTCGTAAACGGCGAGAACCCGATTTTTAACTGGGACGAACTCCGTCCGTTTACCATCTTACGCCGATGCAGCCCGACTGGCGGCGTGTATATTACTATGTATAATAATACGCCCGTTACAATAATATATTATTATAACTGCGGCTGACGATTCGCGGCGGCGGCGGCGGCGGCGATGACCGAGTTAAACGCGGCGAAGAAGACGTATATTATAATATTATATACGTATTATATACGCGTAAACGACGATGAATAATTATAATTCGTTTTCTTGAAAACCCGCCCGTGTGCACGGACGAACGAAAATATATTATTCCCTATAGGTACGATAATATAATATTATATATACGTAATATATAGGTATTTATAATACGTGGTAGTGCGGCGGCGGGCGGACGAGGGGTTAAAAAACGAGAAACTGTACGCTGGTTAGATATATATGAATGTCGACGAGATGGACGGCGCGGCGGCGATGGGTCATCGGGTGGCAGCGGGCGGGGCGAAGGGAGAACGTCGAGTATATAACACACATACATACATTCATACATACACACATACATATATACGTAAGTACATAGATAAGTTTATTATATATATTTAAATGCGTTCCGGGAATTAAACGAGTTTTGTGGACGGTGGTCTTGTCGATCCCGCCACCGCCGCCGCCGCCGCAGCCGCCGACTGTCGTTTTACTTGCGCGTGTGTACTTGCGTGCGCGTGTGCGTGTACGGTGCCGCGGCCGCGATGCGTGTATAAGCTCGGACCATCCGTTCGACGGACCCAGCACCACAACGGTGGCCGCGCGGTCATTATTATAACAGATCGGCGGCAACGCCGCGGCAACAGCGGTAGTAGTAATAATAATATTGTGTGAGGAGTATATGCCACGGCCGAATAAAAAAAAAAAAAAAAAAAAAAAATGAAAAAAAGAAGAAAAAAAACGTTTTGCCGTCGTTATCGCCGGCGCGTCTGTATAGTAAATAATAACATACATAACGCGCGTATAATATCAATATAATATTATTATAATTTAATAACACCGCACACGCTATAATAATAATATGAAAATTATCGGGAACGGTGTAGGTATTGTATATTATGCCCGGAAGCGAGTAGGTAAATAATATTATATTATATATTATAAGCATCGGTAGTCCGGTAGTGGTTTCGTGATATATAAATATATATTATATTATACGCGCACACAATACCATACGATGATGTGTATATATATTTAATATTTATATATAATATAATATATACACACATATCTTGTATAATATGTCTCCGCGTATTATAATAATACCGAGTACCGCGGCCTGCACGCGACGGACACTATATTATTGTACAAGTCGACAGTTAAGTCCATTAGATCCCAAATGTCCGATATAATGTGCTTGGTACCTGCCGCTTGGCTATATATTATATTGTTATATCGTTGGCGTAGTGCCAAATAGAAGTTTTATAATCGGCCATTATTGCAGTATTATAATATAGTCTCGGAAGTCGAGACTTAAATGGGGCACATAATATTATCTCCTATTTACAATAAGTCAGTGATTTTATGTATGGGGTGGCCAATACACAGGAAATACATTGTAATAATATTTCTGTATTATTATAATGCGTACAATACGTGCGAATATACCTTTGTCTAATCGTCTACCATATCTGTAAAAACTGAAAAGGCTCGAATCCGCTCGTTAAATAACTGTGTGGCGTATAGAAATAATACCACCAATGCCACTCTATACAACAATATATTATAATAGATAATAATAATATATTTAAAGAGCACAAATAAAACTTATTTGTGACTTGTGAAGTAGGATAATGATTTCATCACCTATATAACTCAATAGTAGGTATTTCCTGGAAATACCGATTGTCAGAATATTTTGTGAATAGTACGTATAAAAACCAATTAATATTAATGTATTTTATTCCATCTTCAAAATAAATGTATTATGCTAGAACGGCCAATACGTACATAACGTATCATTACGGTCACATTAAATAGATCCACATCTTCGATAAGTGTACCAATATACTATTAAAACTATAAAAATATACTATCAAAATAATCTGACTAAATTATACTTTTATTACATAAGTCTATATTACACCGAGTGATTTTTATTATTAAAGAAGACGCTCGGTATTTAAAGCTATTGTCGTTTTTGAAAACATTAATCGTTTCAAACCAACGTTTATTGAAAAAACCATATTTTGAAATTGTTTTGTTTTTCGAGTGAAAATATACGTATTTTTAATTTCATATTGAATTTAAAATGATTGTTAAACGATTAGTAGAATAAAATTAGAATTGAATATTTTTTATCATAAAAATCTTATTTAGTAACAATCTAAAATCAGGATCATCCGCGGGTATTATTCATAAAAATCAGCCGATGAATTCATAAATTAATTCAAATTCAATAGAAGCACTTTAAAATTTAATCTCGTACTTTTTCACTTTTTTTAAATTTTATAAATGTGCTTTGAACATGCGTTAAAAATCCTAAAAAAAAGACAATAATAGTTCGATATAATATAAAAATGTGCAAAATTAAATTTTTTAAATCCAACAGCTGGTGCCAGTATACTTAAAAATTTAGATATACTGTCAGGTCATCTCTCATAAAAAATAGTTTGGCGAGATTGCACATAAAAGCACATGGGCTAACGATCCCCGCGATTAATAATAATAATAATATAATAATATGATATAAATAGTTTAATACTAACGGTCCAGCTGAACGTAAACTGTAATGCCAAGTTGCCGCCGGCTGCACCTCGATTGCTAAAGTCCGCGGGCGAATTGGTGTCCGATGATGATGCTGCGGCGTCACCGCCCAACGTAAACGAATTGCCGCCGAGGACGGGACTGGTGACGTTTCCAAAGGAGCAGTGGTGCAGGTGCGAGTTGGGTGTTTGGTGGTGATTGGAACCCATGGCCGAAAATTCGTCGTCACCGATGACCACTCTACCGCCAGACGACGCAGATGAGGACGATCCACCCGATGGTTGTTGCTGCTGCTGTCGACTCTGGTATTCGCGTAAACACACCTGAAATAGTGTGTTGCATTGCGGTGCGCCAGTACATTGCAGCGTGTTGCGCTGTGCTGAAGACGGCTGCTGTTGGGCGGACGACGAGGAATCGCTGCCACAACACTCGCCTGTGGCCAGTTGGCCACGGTAATTTTCGATCTCCAATATTTGCAGCTCGAAGAATCCCAGTGCCCGGACGTCCTGTGTGCGTGCAAAACGTTAAGAAAAATCGATCATTTACCATAATATGATATGTAAAATATATATTAGTGTGATACGTGAATACAATAAATGTTATATAACAACAACAACAATAACTATAAACATAGAGGATCACGTGGTGACGGACACGGACAACGAACTAACCAATCAGTTTGCTCGATCAGCCGTCATAGATCCCTAAAAGTATAGGCGGTAATGGTGTAAAGATAAAAAAAAAAAACTACATTTATACGACTATAACGATTTACATTGTTGTGACCATCAAACGTCATATTTTTGATCCGTTCTACAGTCTTATAACAATAATAGTGGTATCGGTTATGGTATCGGTTATGTTTATGTGGTATCGATTGTATCATATTGATGTCAATTGTATCTTGTGAGATGTGAGTATGAGATACGACTTTCTAACAAATATTGTAAAAGCTTATTAAATGAACGAAAACAACGAAAACATAATATATCTATATAGCTGAATTTATACATACATGTATGTATATAGCCGATCATTACAAAATTAATGAAAGCAAAAAGCGCAATATGAATTAAGTATAGCGAAAATGTATTAAGAGAAAAACTGGATTAAGTCATAGATGGCATCGTATCGTGTCCAAAAGTTGATTAGCTATGCCAACACTGAATATTTCACGGTATAGATAACGGTTAGTAAATTATATCATAGTTATTATTAATTGTAATATGGCCAATCAATATATAATACTACGGTATTACACTACGTAGTTGTAGTGAACTTGGCTTAATGAATAACATTAATGAATCCCTAAGCAGATTGAAATAGATTTTTTAGAGATATCTAAACATTTTGAATTTATAGCACTACAACATAATATATTATATTAATATTATACTATTATAATATACGTAATATAGTGCACGTACATTACCAACCTGCACCTTTTACATAATCGACTCCTACGAACTCTAAAATCTCATCTCATGTTGATGTGGTAACGGCTACTAACGGGTGGGGGTGGTATAATTATATCGTTTCTGCCGCTATACCTACGGGCATCAAATCCGTTAACCCGTCAGGGCGGCGACTCCGATAATTCGAATAATCGGCGTTTCGCCACCGCACATATACCTAGCCGTGAACTGTACGATACGAAACAGCAGTGATTAATAATGCGCTGTACGACGACGGCGGCGCTGAAATAGTTTCTCATGAAACTCCATATTGTTACGCTAATGACGAGGTAGGTAGTGCAGGATTACCTTTTTGTAGCAGACGGCAGTTAGGTAAAGTGTTAATTAAGATTTTATGTTTTGGGTTTTTATTTTGTTAACATAGCTTATTCACACGGGTTAATCGTTAATATGTAAGAATTAAATTACTGAATTAAAAATAATCGAAATTTAAAGATGACACTACTCATTTAATACAATTTAGATACATAACTAAATTTAACTGTATACAAATTGGTCGCACTAAATAAGTACTACTAGAAATATTTGATTTCAATAAATTGTTTTCTATTGTGACTAAATACAATATGACTAAATACAAAATTATACATTAAATGGCGAAATGTCTGGAACATAAGTAGTTTACTGATATGATTACAACCAAAAATATATTTTACACTTTCAATAGAATTCGTAAATCCGTCTTTGAAAAATGTTAATATAAATGGTTACCTTTTAGATTTAGCACAAAACGACTTCATGAACAATAAAATACATTAACAATACCACATATAGTATAATACCTTTATTAAGTCCATTTTTGTATACATAGTTAGAAATAAGTTTATTTATAGCAACAATAATACTTATTCGACCTTTAGAAATCCGTCTCTACTTTTATTCTATATAGTCATATATACTATAGATACCCATTTAAGTTTTGTGGATTTCCTGTCCATTTTATACATAAAAGAAAAACCATATAAAATTTCTTTGTAAATAATGGATATATTGATCAGTAGATGGTAGGTGATTAAAAACACATAAATTTTCCAACAGTAATCCTGTCTTTAAAGCCATTATTATATAGACCACTAAACGACACAACAATAACTTGTTATTACAATACTTATAATACTATAATATAGTTAATACTTGTGGTGTTATATTTAGGTTCTTTTATGTTTATTTATTCAGGAATTATTCTAAGAGGTAGACAGGAAGTAACACTAAACATTCCTCGGTATCCGATCCCAGCTACTTCATATATTACAAGTTATATACAGGTAGTTACTTATTTAAACTGTGCACAAAATGAACTCAATACAACACCGTTACAATGTAATATAACTAATTATCGCATATATGGTCGTTAGACACTACCTGCAGGCCTCTCTATACACACATATATATATAAGTAATGAAGCGCGCGCGCGAACACAATAACTAAGTGTATGCCCATTGTCAGATACTTTATTTCGGGTCATCGGAGGCAAGACGCAGACCGGGGGGCACGAAAACGATTGTTATACGTGACGACACGACGGACGAGCTCATGCATACACACATACACACTCACTCACACGCGATAATAATAAAAATTAAAATGATAAATGATCGAGTGATTTGTCTCGTCGTTGTCGATCGCCGACGCACGCTAAACGGACCGACATCGTCATCATCATCAACGTCATGCATATAAAATATACAGTGTGTGCGATGGCCTAGCCATTTGTTATAAGTAAATTCTCATAGTGGTGACGAAGAGAGGAGGAGAAGGCAAACGAAAAAATAAATAAATATCGGTCATCCCGCACGGCCAGATCCCTCTGCATCCGTACGTACCAACCTAGACAGCGCGTGTCTGTGCGGGAAATCACACGCGATCCTTTTACTTTGTACATCTACAACATTTGCACGGCGTTTTTGAGAAGGGAAAAAAATTTGTCGCGGTAACACGTCGTCCCATTTTTCGTAGGTATAAAATACGAGTAATGCAATCACAGTGATAATAAATCTACGCGCATTACGCATAGGTATCCCTATATCATAATACAATGTACGATATAAAACGTAAAAATACGTCTGCGTGCTCGATTATAAAGTATCTATATTTTTCGCCGACGATCGCGTGAACCTCTCCTTTGCCGTCGTTCAAACAATCATCCTAACCTACGAACACGCACGCTAGACCGCCGCATTAATCGCGTTGTTGTTATTATTATTATTATTACAAGACTGCGCGGCTTAGCGTCTTGTACAGGGAAAAAAATGTACGTCGTCGTGCGGAGTTTTGTGTATAAAGTCGTGTGTGTATGTGTGTGCGCTCGGTGTGTCTGGTGTTGGCGCACGAAGACATGGCCTACACGACGAACGACTACGACAACGGGTTGCGTGCCAGCCGGTCAGCGGCGTTGCGGCGGCTGCCACGCGGTCCGGGCGTGCGTGCCACCACGTCCGCCGCCCACGTAACGCGTGTAAACGCGCGCGCGCGCTCGCGCTTGTATAGGTATATATTCCACAAGCTCTCGCTCGGCAATCCATCTCTCCGCTACTGCTGCTGCTTGTTGCGTACACCTCCTCCTCGTCATCCTACCCCTAACCCTCGCCGTCCCCCCGCGCAGCTCATATATTATTATTCGTCACGACTCGGCGGGAAACTTGCGCGCACATCACAACGATGCAATATAATATATTATTATACCGTGTTATTATATTTTATATCATGTATTATATTATAGGAAACGACGTCGTCGTAGTCATATATGTACACGACGTTTAACCGAATTTCGTTGCGCGCTCGCAAAGAGGACGTCGTAGGAATGCGTATACCTATATATTAGGTATATAGGAGTGATGATTCGCGTTCGCGATATCATCATAAATAATATATAATATTAAGTATACCGCCGTCGTCTTGGTGCACTCCACAAAGCGTACCTACCTGTATATTATTATTATTATTATTATTATTATATGCACGCGCGTGCAGTAGCGAGTATTACGAATGATTTTCGAGGACGGCGGTGGACCGTGGAAAATCGGAGAATATAACTATGCGTGTCCGTCCAAAGTATAATGTAAAAAGCGGCAAACCGAGCGGCGGGAGCGATGGTCGGACTGCAGTGTGAGTGGGGCTGTTGTACAGATAGATACGGGCGAAATGCAATGACGTGTGTAATAGGCGAGACGAATAAAATACTTCGCCCCCCTCCCCGCTCGCCGCTTCTGTATGGACGACGTGAGAATAGAACAGAAATAAATGGAATACATTTTTTTTTAGAATAATAGACGGTATATAATAATAATGGTAATAATAATAATAATAATAATAATAATAATGTGATGTATACGCACGCAGTATACACGGCGACTGCGCGACGGCGGTAAGAGGGCCGGGCTTACAACCGCATCGGTACACAAACATTTTGACGGTACCACCGCGTTTGGGCGGAGCTTGGGCGGCGTGACGATGCGCGTGTACCGCGGACGTGGCCTGGCGAAAAGTTACGGCGGTAGCCGTGAGACAACAGAACGAAAGTCACTCCCCCCGCAACAGCTTCGGCGGCGGCGGCGACCGTTGACAGTAGTGTACAGCGGCGAGCGTACGTAATCCCACCCTGTTAGGCGACCGTTCGACGGCAAAGCCCGCGGCGCGCTCGTGAAGAGTGTTCAGATGTTATCGCGTGATATGCAACCGTCGTAGTTATAATTTTATTTTAGACGCCCAATACAGCACTGTTAATACGCAATATTATTCAATATCATGTCATCTGTATCGCGATAATGTGTTCGAGTGAAAAGTAAACATTTGCTGAAATTAAAAAATCGATACACTAACGAGTAAAAAAACAGTCGTCGTCGACGATGTTATTGTGCACCGCATGATATTTTATATCATATAGTGACTGTATTCTGGACCCCGAAATCGTATGCCGACTGCTGCCGAGGAGGGTCTTCGTCGTTCCCCTGCCGCGATATAATATTATATTCACACGTGTCCGGACGAAACATCGCGCGGCTGTACCAGTGCTGTAACACAATAGTACGTT